AGCGCAGATAGCCCTCGTGTAACTTTGCGCAAAATTCAAAACAAACAAACAAACAAACTTGGATGTGACAGATACGACAGAGATCATGTTGTACATGTGCAAACCAGATCTCGCGTTTATACCCGCCAAGTTACGTGAATCCGAGATTTGGCTTCTGAAAATATACTTTTCTGGACGTTTGGGTGGAAATAACTCGTTCACGATAATAAACCGTAGGAAACTAGTTCTTCCAGTATCACTTACTTAGATAAATATAATCAACATTTCATAACTTGATAAGGTACGCTAGATTTAAAACTGCTAAAACACGAGGTTTTCTAATCCAACATTGTGGTTTGGTTTGTTTTGAATTTCGCGCGAAGCTAATCGAGGACTATCTGTGCTAGCCGTCCCTAATTTGGTAGTGATAGACTAGAAGGAAGGCAACTAGTCAACACCACCAGCCGCCAACTCTTGGGCTACTCTTTTACCAACGAATCGTGGGATTGACCGTTACATTATAACGACCTCACGGCTGAAAGGGCGAGCATTTTTGGCCAAATGGATTCCAACCCGCAGTCGAGCGCTCTAATACAACAAAATGATTTGGTTTTGTTCTACAGCTCTGCAGCTAAAGATGTAAACTGAATCTAATTACTGTATCATCATAATACTGGTATTTCACAGTGTCTCAGTATGATGAGACTTCTGCGATAGCCTATATATATATATATATATATATATTGCTTTTGATTATGTATGGTGGAGAACGTAATCCATTTATATATCCTTTTTGTCCCCCGGTGAGACAGCGTTAAGTCTGAGGAATTACAACGCTAAAATCCGGGATTCGACTTAACAGCAGACAGCCCAGTATGGCTTTGTTCTGAAACAAACAAACAGTTATTCCTATATTTTCGTTTCTTTCACCTTTTATGCCTCATACATTATATTCCCTGCTATTAACTTTCTGAATTAGATAGGTTTACCTTTGGTTTGGGTTCTTTATTTTATTATTAGTAAAGTCCCCCGGTTGGTCAGTGGTAAGTTTATGGACTTACAACTGTAAAATTCGGGGGTCAATTCCCCCACTGTGGACACAGCAAATATCCCAATGTGGCTTTGCGCTAAAAAACCAAACAAATTACAAGCTATTTTCCCAGAATTCGCTGCAGTCTAGTTTGGTTCAGGACATTATGGGTTGAAGCACGTGAACTTAGCCCTCTAATAATTTCAAAGCAAAGCTAGTAAGCACCACCTACCGCCAACTCTTGGGCTACTCTTTTACCAATGAATAGTGAGATTGACTGTCACATTAGAACACCTACACGGTTGAAAGGACGAGCATGCTTGGTGTGAAGGGGATTCGAACCCGCCACCACCAGGCTATCATTTTAAAAATGAACTATCTTCAACTCTATTTAAATGTTAATATCCTGTTATACACCACTCATGACTATATAGGTTTTGGCATGTCTTGTCTTCACGTTTTTAAATGACACTTTCACTCCATTATTTTGTGTTTCATGACAACTGATATATATATATACAAACACACACAACAGAAGTGTTAAGGTTTCTCATCTTTTTCATTTTAAGTTTTGCATGATTTTTTCCATTTTAATTTTAACAGGAAAAATCAGTTACTATATGTTGAAGCTATATCTTCGTAATGCAACAAATTAGGTATTTTCTATTAAACATATTTACAATAACATTTAAATTTGTGCTTCGTCAGTTTACTCTGCACTCAGTAATAATTAACAATGACTTACCTATCACTAATGCGATGATGATTTGGATTCAAGGAACAAGAAGAAATATTTTCTTTATTGGTGGAACTTTTGAATATAGTTTCCAGAACATTCTTTCAACTTTAAAAACACACACACACACATTCGAAGTTCACTGTTCAAGTTTTACCGCCGTTATGAAGCGTTGGAAGCAGTATCTTCTTAGTAACACAGTGTTTTGTATTCCATTATCGACATGTGACTTTCGAAAAAAATATGGCGTTTCCCTCTCTTGGCGTTCTTCCTAAAATTGAGATCTTTACATCGAAACAAATATCCACAGCTCAAAAAACAAAACAATAAACTTTCAGAAATACTCGTTTGAAGACACCAATGAAAACTTCGAAGACAAATAATTAATGTTTCTGTTATGCTGGAAACTTCTAAAGACTAAACGCATTTAACTACACATCGGAAAGACATCCCTCCCACACAGTTTCCTGCATCGTGACTAAACAGCATTCGGGGGGTGGGGGGATAGCAATTCGTCTCAAGTTACAGCACCAGCTGCCTTGCCAGTAGTGTGTTTGTTTTGGCCTAAAGAGTCGTTTCCCGGGATTACATCTTAACAGAAACCAGCCAGGTTGTGTGTATTTACGTTTTGCTTTGGAAGATTTGATTATGCAGCTAAGCGTGTAAATGATTATATTCGTTTTTTATAGAGTTTTCGCGCAAAGCTATATAAAGGGCTATCAGCGCATGCCTGTTCCAAATTTTGAACTGATAGACAAGAAGGAAGACAACTTGTCAACAGCATCTAACACTAAAACTTTGCTTATTCTTGTCTGACCGAAAAGTAGGATTTGACTGTCACCTTTACAGCACATTTCCGACCATAAAGTTCCAAGCACGCTTTTGCGGGAACAAGATGTGAACCACGAATATTCGGGTTCACAGTCTGAGTACACTTGGCCATGCACAGCCCCATTACATCGTCATCTCATGAACTATGGGTCTACTTGGCCATGCACAGCCCCATTACATCGTCATCTCATGAACTATGGGTCTACTTGGCCATGCACAGCCCCATTACATCGTCATCTCATGAACTATGGGTCTACTTGGCCATGCACAGCCCCATTACATCGTCATCTCATGAACTATGGGTCTACTTGGCCATGCACAGCCCCATTACATCGTCATCTCATGAACTATGGGTCTAACTTTTAGTCTAGTTCTAATGCAATATAAAAAGAAATGACGATTAAACTACTTATTTGCTCAAGCACGCACGCAGGGGGGGGGGGGGGTCGAACCCCCTATCTTTGTGATGTAAAAAAAAATATGCTTATATAGTTATAGCGCAGCTATTTATGGTATTTACCATTTTCTATACAATGTACATTCTTCTGTTGAAGCATTAGCATTTTATGCCTTCAAATAGTCGCATGCCCCCAGACCCCCGTAGCATTAGCATGCTGATTGCGCTTCGCACAATGTGTCGGCTTTTGATCTCATAAATCAGAAGACCCCCTTTCAAACATTGTGCATAAGGGCCTGTTACTAATACTTTTTTTTTAAATTCTGGTAAATAACAAGCGATTAAATTCGTATAAATTGTTATTATAATTATGCTACGACGATATCAGATGTAGTATGTTGTACATCTTTAAACAGAATCTTAATTAAAAAGTTCTTCTCAAATCAAAAACTTTCAAAATTGTTACATGTTTTACCACAAGATGGCATAATATCACATATCTAACGCCTCTAGAAGAGTAACCAGTGCAAATATCCACCAATAAGGCATCTCTTATCATTTAATTATTAAAGCACTGGTCAGTGTGAGCATTTATATATATAATATTTGGAATTATTTTGGAAACTTTAAGGAAAGGGGAATAAAAGGCAAATCAATAGAACAGGAATGCCAAACCTTTATCTTGTGAAAATGAACTACACCAGAGGACAGTCACAAATGTTGATAGTTTCTTATACGATTGGTTGTCATCCAATCAATCAGACGGTACAATAGAAATACAGCCAGTCTTACTATGCCTAGTAGTGGTAATAGTATGGTTCCCAAGAATGAAACGCATGCAAAAAATAGCAGCAAGACTCTGAAGAGGGTACGTGAAACTGTATTGTTAATAATAGAAGTGATTGAGGTGACAAACCGAAACAATCCGGAAGTGATGTTAAGTACCACAAGGTATGTTCTTTACACTAAACATACGACTATTGGGTACAGATTTTGCTGTAATGTAACCAGAGGTTTGCTTATTACCTCGATAACAGTACGATAAACATTAGCACGAAGCGGTCTAAATGGGTGTGTAGCTGCTCGAAAACCACAGTTGAAAAGAAGTTACCAAATCAAATAGTAGAAATGGGCAGCTGACTGGAAACAGTGGAACGAGCAAGGCTCTTTCACATTAAGAACACAGTTTTAAACAAATTTGAATGACGTTATTTTCCTAAATATTTCAATTACTAAACAGGTACTGACCAATCTTCACAACATTTTTTTTTTCAGTAATAAATGTTACACTAATAGAACTTTTGTAGTCACCTCTGCGTGAGATTATTTCTGTAATTTCTACACCGAGAAAACAGGTTTAGGCACATCTGTGTAACATTATTTCTGCAAAGGCCACACTCCATAGTGGCTCAAATTTCAGTCTGAAGGCTCATAATGCAAAAATCCGAGTTTTAATATTTTTACTAAATATTCTATTTCTTGTAATATTTTTGCTCTGGTTTTATAATCTAAATATTTTGTTTCAAATACTTTTTTCGTAAAATATGTTTTAGTTTGATGTACTAAATATTTTCTGTAGTAGTTTTTTGTAAAATTTTATGCTTTAGTTTGATGTACTAAATATTTTCTGTAAGATTTTATACATTAACTTGATAAACTAATTATTCTGTTACAGTAGTTTTTGTTAATTTTTATGCTTTAGTTTGAAGAACTGAATATTGTTTCCAGGAGGGTTTTTTTTCTAATCTAAAGAGAAGGTTTTTATTTGTCTTTAAAAGGCAGAAAACTATCAATATTAAGAAACAGTCCAAAATCTGTTTTGAAGAGAACAGAGATGCCAACAGAATTTCATATTTCCAAACGGTATCACTGTTATCTTTCTCATGCATTGTATTGATTAACAGAAAGGTACTTCTAATTCTTTGTATGAAAATAATCAATTTGTCATGCTAGAGCTAGTCTGTTCTTGGTTCTGTTTAGTAGGCAGTAGTTATCAGTCAAAACTGGTATCACCTCCTCAGTCTGTTCTTGACTATATTTAGTAGGCAGTAGTTATCAGTTAAGACTGGTATCACCTTCTTAGTCTGTTCTTGGCTCTGTTTAGTAGGCTGTAGTTATCTGTTAAGACTGGTATCACCTCTTTAGTTCTGTTCTTGGCTCTGTTTAGTAAGCATTAGTTATCTGTTAAGACTGGTATCACCTCCTTAGTCTGTTCTTGGCTCTGTTTAGTAGGCAGTAGTTATCAGTTAAGACTGGTATCACCTCCTCAGTCTGTTCTTGACTATATTTAGTAGGCAGTAGTAATCAGTCAAGACTGGTATCACATCTTTAGTCTGTTCTTGGCTCTGTTTAGTAGGCAGTAGTAATCAGTCAAAACTGGTGTTACGTCTCCGTTTGTTAATTAACTTTCCGTAACTTCGTTCCGACAAAACAATAAACCAGTTTTATTAAGTAAAGAACTTGTGTCGCTAACTTTCCGAATACAACTTTACCGATACACTCAACTTCAACAATCGCGGTTGCGTCATCGAGATCATGTGATTCTCACGCTCTCTCCTTTCTTGAATTATCCTGTACTTTGGCGAATGTTCTAGTTCTTACTAGATATAGGGTAGGCGGATATATATAAGAGGGGAATGTAATGTGTGAGAAGATAGTGAGTAACTGAACTGCAGTCGTAAGTATTGTTGACGTTCGTTGATTAGCGTTTGTTTTAAAATAACATCTAAGCCGTAATCTTTGTAGCATCTTACGCGGTACTCAAAGTTACAGTCAATAATTGGTTTAGTTAAAAAAAAGTGTTCCAAGCAACAAAGACTGACCGCCCGCTGAAAGTTGGGGATTCAGAGAACAATAGAGGTTTATAACAGGTATAGCTTGAGAAGTGGATTTGTGGGGAAGATGGGGTTTTTTGTGAACAATAGGGATTAGGGCTTGAGAAGTTGGGGTTAGGCATTAATCGGAATAATGATTCTAAAACGTGTCAACATTACTGTTTCTGCACTTACTTTCACTGGCCTCACTTTTGGAAGTCAAATGAAGTTAGATTTCCCACAATGGCCAGGATAGCAAGGCGTTATCTCTGCGCTCCTCCGACCAGTGTACACAGCGAACGAGCTTTTAGCGCCGTTGCCAACATTATCACACACGAAAGATCAAGGCTTTTACCCGAAATTAGCGAAATACTACTTAGCTTATGTCAGACCTGGAGAAGGAGAAACTTGTCCTAATGGCGATAAGTTGAGAGAGAATAACTGCTGTAAGTTTTATATGTTTACTTTAAGCTTCATCATATCAGACCATTGTTTCTGACTTGTAAGGAAGAACATATAAAAAGTTTAATCTCTATCTTGGAAAGTTATAAGTGCATGCATCACGTAAACACAAATATTGAATTTTATAAAACTCTGTATTTGAGTACCCATTACAGAAATAAACTAAATTAATGCAAACCCTATTGTACTTAATGATCAGACATCGCAAAAAAAAAACACGATAAATTTGGTTTGTTTTGAATTTCGCGCAAAGCTACTTGAAGTTTATCTGCGCTAGTCGTCTCTAATTTAGCAGTAATAGACAAAAGGGAAAACAGCTAGTCAACACGCCAATCGTCAATTCTTGGGCAACTATTTCACCAATGAATAGTGGGACTTACTGTCAAAAATAGCGCCTCAGCAACTGAAAGGGCAAATGTGTTCGG